TTTTGTTTTTGTTTGTTTAGTGTTCCATCGATTTTTAATCAACTTTCTCGAGCCATTGCTTTTATGTAGCTGGAAACTATAAACCATCATCAAAATATAGTTTTTGTTTTAGATTCTGTAATGTCTCTTATACATATTGGTTTTTGGACACACCATCTTATATTAAAATTCAGTTCTATTTTGCTTTCGTCATCACACACACACACACATCTCTCTCTCAATATATATATATGTTTATTTTTCATTATCCTGTAGCAGATGTTCTATTCCGCAATGTTTTCATTATAGCTGATATTTTTTTTTTTTATTAATGATGACTTTTACTGCAATGCATCCATTGAGATTTCTTTTACTTAGTGATCTTCTTTCTTTATGGAATTGATACTTCACTAGTAACACTGCTTTCATCCATTACTTGAAGGTGCTGATAATTTGGGTTATTGAGAAACTTTCATTGATCTATTGTCAATTTTGAAGGTCTACTGTTCCTTTTCATCTCCAAAATGCTCCCAACATCAGCATCTTTCTTTGGGGGAACTCTACTGTGTGTTTTGATATTTCAAGCTCCTTAGCAATTTCATGCTGACTCATTCTTTCTAAAATTTTAATAATTTTTACCCTCTTCTCAAAACCCACTTTTTTTTTTTTTTTTTTTTTTTGGAAACTTAAACTTTTGAAGCTACACTAAAAAGACAGACTGAAAGTACTCCAAACCATATGTAATTTGTGTGAATCATTTTAACATGAGAAATTTACATGTCTATTTTAATCTGAGGTGCCATTCATCTTAAGTGCCATCAAGTTGTTCTTAACTTTTTTATATCTTATTTTCATTATTTATGCTCTTGTTCACTAGGGATAGCAGTTGAACCAGTACGGTCTGCCACTGGAGGTTAAATAAAGGGTTCAGTTCAGAATTCCCTGTAAGTTACCCAGATCGATATACCTGAGGAAGGTCGGAGATAACAATGGTCGAAACGTTGTGATAACAGCAACAAATACGAGGAAAATAGTCAGAATATAAGTAGTGTAAATAATGATAACTCCTCATCTCAGAAACTCCGACAAAAAAAATCGTTTTCAGTATCACCCATCCTTCAAATATTTCTTGATTTATTTGGGAAAATATTAATTGAATTATTTTTACGGCTTATTAACCCTTTATAGGTTATTTAAAATCATACAATACTTTTAGATTTTAAGACTTTTTTGCGGAGGAGATAATGATTTAGTGATAAACGTCTTACTAATTAACCCATATCTGGGGTGAAAAGGGGTGGATACATGCATTTCTCTAAAGGTATTTGCGAGTAAGTGAATATAACAAATCCAACGAGAATTGGTACTCATTCCTCTGATAAACAATTCTGAGTCATTATTCTATTTTCCCAACCTGCACATCTAAGCACCTTCTATAAACGAGGCAGTCACTTATCTAGGTACTGACAAGGCTCGACATTTGCTTAACTTAGGTAGTCGTACAGGAACCGGTGTTTCAAAATGACATGTCGTATGCCGGGAAAATATTAGAATAATCCAGAACATTTACTACGAAAAAATCAGATGCAAACGGATAGAAAACAAATTGAACGAGAAACAGAAATAGAATGGGGTTAAGACAAGGGAACAACTTCTTGCCGGATTTATTAACCTTTTACAGTTACGCTAACGTAAAGTAACTAGGTAATGTATCAGGATTTATTATCAGTTGACACATTTTTTAACAGCCTGACGCCTGCAGATGGCACTCTGCTTTTCGCAGACACCGGACAAAAAAGAAACACACATAAGCTTATAAACAAGAAAAGAAAGGACTAAGCCTCTAATGCAAGAAGACAGAATGCATGATTAAGGGGAGAAACACAAGGTGCGATCTCTGAATTGTAGACAACAAAATGAATCAAGTTCAGTAATTTAACTGAGAAGTGTTTGAACAGGCGAAAGAAAACGGGATGCGGAAATCTGAAAGCATATTGGAAGAGCGAAAGAAACCTAAAAGTCAAGCAAGGCAATATAAAACAGGAAAATTTCATTGGAAACAAAATAAAGACTGCTGAACAGACATATAATATCAATTTTCCTATAAAGCAGTGAATACTTCACAGATAATGAGGAAACATGAACGAAATGTTTGATTTGTTTTACGGCATCAATTGGGTTATTTAATGCCGAAATTTTCATCTTCAATATTTTTTTTATCTTCTATATAACGTCTTTATTCAAACAGTAAAAAAATGTATTTTAAATAGTAAGACTACTGTTTGTTATGATTATATATATTTTTAATTACGGTACTTCCCCATGTATAATACGCATTTTTTTGCTAAAAAATAAGCAAAATATATATATATATATATATATATATATATATATGTGGCACCATTTAACGAGACAGAAAAAGAAAAGAAAGGAAAGAAGAAAAGGAGAGGCTAAGGACCGAATCGTGGCTGATAAGCAGAACACACACACGGCTAAGAGGCAATGGATAAAGGGATATTTTGATAAGTAACAAATGGCGAAATAGTGTCATTACAATGACAGGGAAATTCTGAGTAAAAAGAAAGGGAAAGAAAGAAAGAATCAGATGTGTTTTGGCGACGGCTGTGTTATCTAAGGATATGAAAACAAACTATTGGTACGGGAATGGTATTATCAGACCGACTGGCCAAAGAAAAATTCAAATGAAAATGTTATTTCGATAAGTGACGAAAAACAGGCAACTAAAAGGACTTTGGACAGATATGAAAAAATTAATTGTATCAAAGCCATCCACTGACCGAATTCTTTCGACGGAACATCTTTATGCCTGCGATAATAAAATTATGTTATCAAGAAATGTTCGCCAAAGAATGAATGGGAATTTAGAAATATCTTTTCGGGGCGACGTTGGCCGTGTTAAGAAGACCATCCATTCGGATAATTAGCGATAAAATACCTGAGGAAAACCACGTGTAGAACAAGAGTTATGACCGCCATTGTTCATATTGTCCCGTTTGCGGCTAGAGAAATGATAACGGCGATTAAGAGGAAGAAAAGGGAAAGAAGGGATAATTTTTTTTAGTTAAGCAAGATATTTTTTCTTCCTGAAACAAAGCCGCGGATTCGTCCACGCCCGACTAAGACATCATTGGTCAAGTGGTGATCACGTGACGCACGAAGGAGGATGTCGCCGCCTATCCAGAGTGTAGATATGAGAAGCTGCTACGAAGAAGTGGGGAGGGCAGTTCACACCCTCTGAAGTATGGTGAGAAGGTGGGAGTGAGGAAAGGTTCCCAAAAATGGAAAAAAGTGAAAATTCCTAACCAGAAATAAAAGAGGTGGATATGTATTTAGAATTATCGAGGAACCCCCGACGCCGACAGACCCACCCCGGTTTTGGTCGGCGTCCATATAAGCGAAGCTACAACGAGCAGAAATCAGTTCCAGTGAGTTCAGTTCCAGAAAAGTTTGAGCTGAGTCTCCAGTTGAAGCCGCCTCGCAGATAGCTGACCAAGATTCACGCAAATTTCGGACTCCTCTTCAACCCAAGAACAATTATTTTGAAGAGCGACTGAGATCCAGACCACCGAAATAAGTTTTTTTTCGACTTTCGTCCGAAGACACACCGAAAAACCAATTTCTTAGAGAGCAAACAACTTGAAGCGTTAAAACTTGCCTAACGGAAAACGACGTGTCACAATCCATAGAACGGGTCGGGAGATACATGCAGTCCTATGTATCGAACAACTAGACAAAGTTTGTTACTTTTTTCTTTGATACTTTGAACTTTTGAGTTTTCATTTTATTTTCTTTTATGCATATTTGTGTGGTATCACCCTCGTTGAACTCGGTTTGCATTACGGCCCCAACCACTGATCTCGTCTGCCTAAGATCAATTCACAACGTGGGTAGGCATACTGGAGATCAATGCAGTTACCTTGGTAACCAGGCGTTGGAAGCGAGTTGGGAACGACGAGGCTGATATCAAATCTAACCAGATTCACACCCGAATCACCAAAAGGTTAGAACGTCACATTTGGGTGCCGCGACCGATACCAAGCCAGTTGGTCGTCACAGGACGAGACAACACGACTGACGCGACAGGCGGACGTCACGTACGGAGCAGCGAGGAGCGAACAGCTGGCGCCGCAGCGAGGACGTCACAGTTGGCGCTGCGACCAGGGGGCGACGTCACACACACACATATATATATATATATATATATAAAGAAAAAAATGCAATATATATATTGTGAGTTCAGGTCTCTACATGGGATTGGCCTATATTCTAAAATTAGCCCAAACCCCGGGGGGGGGGGGCATTCCCCAGACTTTACCTCTCCCTCACACGGGAGCTGAATTTATTGTCTGGCGCATTAGGCGTCCCTAAAAGGATAAGTGCCGAGGTGGATTGGAAATTTTTCAACGGTACGTACTGCCGAGAAACCCACCTTAAACTGACCTTCTGCCACATCTGGTTGTGTTGTGGGCGCACCAGTAAATACCTATATGGGATTTTGGTATCTAAGGTAGCAGTTTTTTTTTATAGTTGATGCTTTTCTTGCCATAGATGTGACCCTAACAGGTGGTATCACCCCGGTTCAGGGTAGACGTGAGAACAAGAGTAGTTAAGGGTTGGTCCCACGCTCGTCAAAACCTCCAATCTCCTGATTAGAGGACTTGCTGCTGGATGTAGTTTATCGTCCTACCCAGGAGTCAAAATAGATGTAGTTCTACAGAAATATGTTCAGAATAGCATGGACTGGGCATGTGAGAAACAGGTAGAATTTAAGGAAAATGGAAAGGAAAAAGACATTTGTAGTTAGAATCAGAAACAAATAATGAGGAAATATGACTTAGAAAATGTAAAATTCGCAGAACATGTTGAAGGCAAGATTTGTTGTTGTCAGAATTCGTTTTCTACGGTTTATCAACCTCTTTTCGAGGTATACTAATTAACCCATAGGGGGGAGATAGTATTCCTATATTTCCCACTGATATTTGCATTAAATAAATATAACGCACCCAATGGTATTCCCAAGCGGTCACCCATCTAGGTACAGACTAGGCTCGATGTTGCTTAACTTCGGTGATCTTACAGGAAAAGATGTTTCAACGTGATGTGGCTGTAAATCCTTGAAGGCAAGTGGTGTAGAAGGAAACGGTGTGTCACCTACCAAACGAGCTTGTGAAAATGGGGGACAGAACAGGGACTGGGAAAAGCAACGAAAGATGGGAAGTTGTGGAGAGCCAAGATAGTCTGAAAGGATACGATTATCGGAGAAGAACGCGTTCATTTCTGTATTTCCTCTCGTGATGTGTGCTGGTGAATACTATTGCTTGCTTTAGAGTACTGAATGACCACAGAGACAATTCCCAAGAGTACATTGTCAAATACCGAAAGTTTTTGTAGTAAAAAATTAAGTAAATTTATTTTTACTTACTTCAGTCATTTCTTTTGCAAGCCCGACTACGTATCGTATATATTAGTCACCTTGCATTGTAAGCTACAAAACGCGTCAAAGTTTTAAATATTTCAAAACTCCAATTACTATCTCTTACAAAAATAATTTTCTTGGGGTCTTAAGGACATTCATCGCCTCTTGCTTTGTAGTTTCTCCGTTTTTCTTTGAACTTTCTTCCGTCTTTTTCCATTTTTATAGAAACCAGAAAAAATATAATGGACCAAGTTAAAATGGCGGACGAAAGATTTTTTGACATGAGATTAGCATAGGAATGTCTTCCGATATCTGAAAAACTTTGAATATTTTTTTTCTAAACAAAAAAAAAAAAAAAAAAAAAAAATTCAAGCACTAAAATAAAAATGAATAAATTCTACTTTATTTTCTTTTTTTATTCAAAAGTAAAACAACATGATGTACCAGGTATTTTATATTTAAGTACCCAAGCGCCGGCTTTGGAGGTTGAGTAGTCTCGCCATTTCTTCTAATTGCTAGGGATCGGTGGTCAATCTTAGGTATAAACTGATTTTCCAGTGAGGCTCTCCTCAATTGGAAGACTACATGAAAGTTTTCAAAAGCCCTTTTTTGCTGTTGTTCAGTCTAAGTACCCGATTCATCATAACTTCAAATACACGTTTGCCATATTGTTAGGTATTTGTTTTACAGATAGATGATAAGAAAAGAGATAAGAAAATTGATCATAGAATTGCCTACGCTCGGACGTAGTTTTTTGTTTAACACCACAAGTTGCTATAAAAACCATAACATTAGACTTTCATATCAAAGTGATTACATAGCGCCAAACTCATTCAGAAATAAATTGTGAAAATTGTATACAACCGCTTTCTCAGGTCAATGGTTAGGAATGGCTACCAGCGAATGAGAGCTATGTGTCTTAGCGAGAACCATACGTCTTTAAATCCCGTGGATTGGTGTGACTGATTCACAATCAAAGAACTGTACGAAATAAGAGAAAACGCATAAATTAAGGACTTCCAACAGCAGCAATGATTAAACTGGATATAACTCAAAGAGTAAATAATAATAATATTCAAGTCGCTGACATTCCGCACTACTTCAAACCAAAGTTTAGGAAGAAACCCCTCCCCCATCAATACTGGAAATTGCAATAACAGCTGCTGGATTTAAGAAAGCTGAATAATTGGTTTTAGAGAAATATTTTATAAACTTCAACCGACAGTAACACTGATTACCCAATCAATGAATGCCGAATGTTTCCTTATAAGGAAACGGCTAATATTACCATTGTTATTTCGCTTTATTACTTATAATTACTTAATATAAGTAAATATAATTAACTAAGTTGACATATTTCAAATTATAAACTGCGGAATCTAGCCCAGTAGTTCCCCGTATCAGCGAACTCGATTTCCGCGGCTAGCTCCAGTCAAACGATTCGTAAGTTTTATTTAATAACATACCAGCCGGTCTCTTAGAAAAAGCGTTCAATTAGAATGGCGCAAAAAACAGCATCATGTTTAGATGTAACAGAATCTATTTTCTTCAATTACTTTAAAGTACTTTCATCAAAGAACATTTTGAATGAATGCAGTTAATGATATAACAGAAGTAGTCTGTATTTATTCAATCGAAGTTAGCCGAGAACATCAAGGTGTAAAACAGGCCACATGAAAACCCACTTCCGACCACAATTATTTTGGAATTTTTGAAATTCAATTTGTCTGTCTGCTACCATGGATGTAAAAGAGGATACATTTACAAGGCAATTGTTAAGTTTGATGAAAATTGGTTGGAAGATCAACGAAAAATAAAGAAACCAATAAAAAAAATCACCACTTTTCGCTATTTACGTGGGTTTTCACTATATGGTTGGACTCAATTATCAAGTTAAATAACTTTTATACAATAAACTTATCGTTCGTTACAATTGAGTGAAGTTTGTATTAGATTGCTTGAAAATTGGTGTTTTTAGTTTTAAATTTGTGTTAAAATCGTTTTTCGCGGGTTTTCGCTAAACGCATTAGCGTATAAATAACAAAAATGAGGTATCGTTGAGCCCGTCGTGATGTAAATAACCTACATACCGAGTTTGAACGAAATCAGAGGAAAAAAAGTTGAGTTTATCTATTTTGTTCGGCTTTATCAATTATCGATTTGTTACGCAAAGAACCTATCTCGTATATTGTACAATGTGTGCCAAGTTTGGTCAAAATAGGTTGGATGGATTTCGAGCGAAAAGTTATTCCAGACATCCTTACAAGAGATTGTCCCATATTTATTTATATATATACCTTTTGCCATCGTTAAGTTCCATGACAAAAATGAATCTTTTGTCACAACTTTTTATTAAATTCTAAGGCGAATAACAGTTTCATTGTAGTTACGAACAACCAGAAAATGACAGTTAAAATGTTTGTGCCCCCACAATAAGGAAATGAGGTTTGGTAAATTTAACAGTCAAGCTATCAAAAGTAAAGGAAGCAACGAAAAGCAGTGAACAGCATAGCCAGATGAAAAAGAAACTCCCAAAAGAGAAACATTGATTATCATAAGATCTCTAAGATAAGCAACATCGGGCCTGGTCAGTACCTAGATGAGTGACCACTTGCGAATAGCAAGTACTGTAAATTGGGATATATTGAATAATAGTTACGAATTCTTAGTCGGAGGTCCTGAGTTCCAATTCCAAACGAGTTCATTATATTCACTTACGCACAAATGCCATTTGGAAATCCACTTCTTCTCCCTCCGCTATGGGTTAATTAGTAAGACATTACTAAACCATTATTATCTCGACCAAAAAATTCTTACAACCTAAAAATATTTTCTGACTTTAAATAACCTACAAAGGATTGATAAGCCCTAGAAAACGAATCAAACTGTAGAAATTAATAATCGTCTACGGCCTGAAGGGCTATGGCACATCTAGAGAGAATGTTTCGCGAAATTACAGATTAGTGTTTATGGATAAAACTCAATCAAAATTCAAGAAAGATTATTTTGGCAAACATTGCTCTTTGGCAGAAACCTTTATATTTTTAAAGCTAAAAGGATTTCATTCTTTGAGAAATAACAGGCAAGCTAAGAGAATTTTTTAAGGCCAAAAGCTGTTAGCTTGTTGGTGTCTATTGACTTGTTTGGTCTAAAAGGCACTTAATTTGATAACAAAGAATGTACCCGTTCGCTTTCCTTTTAAGATAAATCTTGGAAAATGTTTTAAAACGGCTAATTGAACTATTTCTAATAACGTTGGAAATACAAGAAAAACTACCTAAAAAGTTTTAAGTGATTAAACAAATCAAAGAACAGTTAAAAAAAAAAACAAAAAAAAAAAAAAGACACGCACACCTGACTCGCCGTTTATGCAACTCGTGTATTTACAACTAAAATTAATGAAGAAAATTTCTAATCATAGCGCAAACTGAAGTGCCAAAAAATCAAAGAACTAATTACCCTAAACAATTTCTCACCCCCCCCCACTATTTTTTTTAAATCAATTAACCACAAGTTTAACGATGCAAAGGGCTACTGGGAGTGAAAATGCAATGAAAAATATTTTAAAGAAAGCGGAAACCCAATCCTAAACAGGAAACAAGAGATAAATCTATAATCTTCAAAAACCCGGGTTGGAGTTTGAATCGGACGTTAGGCGAAATTATTCACTCAAATTGAAGGAAAAAATAAAATATTAAAAAAAAAACTTCAGATTTTAGAGGGATACTTTAGAAGTATAGAGTTTAAATAGAACTGTCAACCGACATATATAGCCTAACAAGTGATGATGTAGTGTAGTTGCTATCACAGTGATGACTGCTTCCTTTTCTATCAAAAACAATAATTTTGACGTTAAACGATTTTACATCCTGTCCGCGCTTTTTGGCTATCAAAGCTACATTACTCCATTATCGATTAGTTCATACATCGGCCATGTAGCTGAATTCATTTTAAAACTAGACAAGAATGGGACAATCCGTGTACTGCTGTTTATATTTTTTCAAATTTCAGCTTACGTATATAGTTTTTTCTTTATACAATACAAAAGAAAAGCGTACGAAATACCGAAAAAATATAAACGTACAAACAGCATAAAAATTAAGCTCATTATATTATCTACAAACTGAGCAATTTCAACACAATAGAAACAGAGGAGTTTTCTTTATTATTTTTATTTTAATTTATTTGACTGTTGTATTTTCCTCGTACCTGAGTTTATCTAAGTATTTATTTTTGAATGTGTAAGTGTATATTTCGGCTTGTAACAATCTTTTGCTAGCATAAACAGTCATCGAGTAAAATTAGGACAGAACAGTGTATTATTTGTACGTATACTTACCCAAGTATCTTGTATATTTTTCACGAACAAAATTTAAAATAGTGGTGATCGGGCAAAACATTGTTTTAATTTAGGAGTCGTATATGGAGAGGGAGTGAGAAGAGATATTTGGAACTAGTGTTGTTAAAGATAGTAATTAGAGCAGTTAATCTTCCGATCAATTTTACCTTAATAGGAGATATCGCAACTTACTGCAACTTAAAACTAAACAGAACATTATCTACTGGTCATCTGTTTACGATGGGTTCCCATTTCCTTCTAATATCTACTTGAACCCTATACTTCTAACGTCTACCTAAATACTGAAATTTTATTTACAATTTATTTACTTTTTCGCCTCAAGAGGTAGTAG